GCAGAGGTCTTTTGAGTTTCCTTTTGGTTTCTGTGGGCATATAATCACTCGGTGACCGCATTGAAAAATGAACTTTGGAACTGCAAAAGTCACAGAAATCTCATGCGAAATGGGAACATCGGATAAGGAAACAACGTATGACAATGCCCCTGAGGTCTCGGGTAAGAAGGGTGTCTTTTAGAGTTTTTCTTTAGCTAGATCCAAGAAGAAGAAAAAGCAGTTGCAGAATGACTGGAAATCATCGTGTCTTAGAGAAGACAGGCGCCGAGCAAATGAGTTAATGCAGAGAATCCTCAGCGCAAAACACAGGACTATGTGTGATCAACAATGTGAAATCGACGAGCTACGTCGAAAGATGGCGGTGATAATGGAAGATAATCGTTTTCTTCGTGAGCAGGCGCAAATGCAAGCAGCAATCATAGAGAAGGTGCAGTTTTTGCATATCAATTATTTTTTAATAAGGAAAGGCCTTCAGTTAGAATTTGTTTGGGTTTTACTCCTTTATAGGTTTTAGAAGTATTCTCAACGTTTTTTATAATTATAATTGGATTTGTTGCCAGCTTACACACTATGTCTCCTAGACATGCTTCTGTAATCTTATGTTAGCAAGAACCGTAGTTAAATTGAATTTTATTTCTCATATATTTTATGAAAAAGGCTATAAAAATTACCGCCTATACTAATGGCCGAACTTCTTGGTCCTCCGGACTCGTGACCAAATTATATTGCTTCCTTTTGAGTAAACGTTAACAGAGACCTATTAGCTATGAAAAGTTGGACGGACTCATTTCGATTTAAGTAAGAAGAAATAAAGTGTGTTGAGGTAATATAGCGCAACTAAGTATGGAGTCATCTGCTGACTATAACTCAATTTCCAGTCGATAGAATACGGTCTTGTCTCTTACCTATCACTAATATCTAAAGGAACGATACCTTGCCTAGGACGCACTGTGCAAGCTTGTTTTGCTTTCATCATCATTGTGCGAATAGTAACCATCCGTGAGTTATTGTAGTTATCACTGGACACAGCCAGGAAATCGTTGCCGCTTTCGAACAAACTATTCAGATTTTCAC